AGCATGAACGCTAAACCACTCAGCCACTGCGTAAGCAAGTGTGATGTCCCTACTGTACAAGTAGAATTAGCTATCATGTGGATAAAACTAACCCGATTTGTAAAAGGAAATAATGCTTCAGGCTCAAGAGCCCTTACAAAAAGGTTCAATCTAGAGATGACTGTAAATAGCTGTTTATGACCACTTATGACAGCCAGTCACTTTGTGATTGGACAGAATGAGAAATTAGGCATTAATAAAAAAGGGAACATTTATAGAAAAAAAGACAACTATACACCCACAATGTCTGTCTCCAAGTTATCTATTACTACTGCAGAAAGAAAAATGAGTCATTGTAATATCTTTTATTAAAAAAAAAATTAAAACCCAGCAGCTCAAAATCCAGCCACAGTTAAACAACAACAACATAATATCACAAGGAAAAGGAAGAAACAAATTAGAAAATGTTACACTGAGTTGCTATTTCTGAATCTCAAATACAACATATACTTCAGAAACCATACAGTCACAATCAGAAGTATTGAGAAAAGCAAACCCTAATCCAAAGTACAAATAGTACTCATTTTGAAAAAGCACAGGGATAAAAGACTTAGGCAAATAGTTATCAGTACGCCCAAAACATTAAGAGGTTTTGCAGAACTAATGCATCTTAAAATTACTGAGACCTTCTGTCACATGTGATGTGTCTCAGTATTCACTACTCATTATCACGTGTATAATACTGTACTACATGGTCCCTGACCTTGGGTAACTGGTTTTTTCCCCCCTTTTTACTTATGTTACATAAAAATATTTAACAGGTTCATCCACCTTAAAAATACAGAAGAATAGTACCAAGTCTATGAGGCACTGTAGAAGGTTCGCTCATTCAGCTACTGCACTGGCCAATATCCCAATCTGGGATTCTCCAGTCCAGAGATTACAACATTGTACTTTGTTCTGAAGCGTTACAGATTCAAAAAATTATTTGTGGCATAATAGAAGGGCATCAGACAAACAGTATTTGAAGTAATGATCTCCTAAAGTGGCCTCTATAATGCCTAGCACAACTGTAAAATATAATTAAGGGGAAGCAGTCCAAAACAGCTGGAGAGCTGCTACATATAAACTATTAGGACAGTCTTAGAAGAGCTGTTGTACAAAGAGATGCTAGCAAGCTCAAGAGCAGCAATCTAGACCACAGTGAACCATGTGGAATAAAATGGGCATGTATTTCAATTAATCTTTCCAAGTAGATTCTTGTATTGGGAGTTTCATCACCATCACACAGATAATACTCTGGTACTGCTGATGACAGGTACTGTAAGGCATGATAAAAGGTGTGACTGAACAGCATTGCTGCAAGCTTGAGAAAACAAATGGGACATGCACACAATCCTCAGACTGCCGAAGACAGCTGGTAAATAGTGTCAAACACTGGAAATTCTGGTCAAAGTTCTCTTTGTTCATCCAGTCTGATTTTGATTCTGAGGCATAAGGGCTACTGGTGCTTAAGAGTAGCAGGAACTTGACTGACCTTTAGGCAAATCTCTCAGCTTACAAAATGTCCTTCTGATCACTATTTCACATCAAAAATGCATAGGCAGGGAGAACGCACGGAGAAAAATACCCAAGCTAGCTATGAAAAGAGGCAGGTCTCCATATATTAGCAAGTCTGAGGTTTCAATTAAATTTCTATAAAAAGAGAGAAGGCTAAGTTAGAGTCAGGCAAGATGAAAGTTGATGGGGGAATTACATGGTGCAGCTCTCACTGGGGAGGTGCTATTGATGCTCCGCTAAATCTTACAGCCCACCTTCTCTTCTGGGGTCTCAGCCTTCTGGCATTCCCAAAATTCTGTCAAACTTTCTTTATGCCTAGTTCCTGAGGGACTTGAACACTAAGCTCAGCTTTCCTCAAATCCTCACCCTTGCCAGCCTTCCTTTTCTTAGAAGATGTTAAAAGCCCATTTGAATCCGAAGCAATCAGTCAACTCCTTCCTGAACAAACTCCCAAAGATAGGTAGCAGCATGCTAGAGAAACCTCCTGATTCTCAAAGCAAAGCTGAGAGGGGAACAGTATCACAGGAGGTAAAAGAGAGACCTTGGTCATAATGAATCACTGAGCAACTGCTGCTCAGGAAAAAGAATGCTAAGAAGTATTCATAATATCTTTTGTTGTCTGTTGCTGTGTTTTAGAATCAAGTCCCAACCCAGCAAAAGGATTTACACGCATAAGAGCATATTCCCACCAAACCCATGAGACTCTTACATACCAATAGTTAGTCATTTAAATACTGTTCTGGAAATGGGAACTTACTACATGAAGTGATAGAAAACAAGTGGCGCTGTCAGCTTTGTGACATTTTAGATAAAAGCAATACATACACTGCATAGGTCCCTTAACTTTATAGACTGCAAATCATTCCTATTTTACAGTAGTAGAAATCAGGATGTAAAATTTATAATAGATTGTTTTTTCAGCATGAGAGTAGCCTTCAGACTTAACGATTTCAAAATTATTTGAAATGCACCTTACTAAGTTCTCTTTAAAAAAGGATTTCAAAATCCACTGATCACTTTTGTCACAAAGCACATTTACTGATAATAAAATAAACTAACTTATTCTTCAAGTGTCTGAACTGTATTTACAATCAAGTTTAGTCACATGCTGTTTAGACACAGTATTCACACCCACTTGTATTCCCCTCTAACTCAGCACCACCAGACAACACAGGGTGCAGAGTAACCTGTCAGAGCTTTATTTCAGAACCACAGTGCCGTACCAAAACACCTGTGCAAAGGGCAATACAGAGAAGCAGCACTCCAGCAGCACAACAGACATCACCACCTTCGCAAAACTCAGGCAAAGCCTGTAAAGGTCGACCATACAACTGCAACATGTGAAAACTATAGTTAAAAAGCAAGAAGAGAAATATCAAACATCAGACCTCTTGCACAATGAAAGACATTTGCCTTAGCCCTCCTGCCAGTGTCAATGGCTCCACCTTTGAGATAGATAACCATAAGGTTCTCAGACAACCATGATTCCCCCTTCTGCATACAAGGTAAGTTACAGAAGGAGAGAGCTGCTTGAAAACTACCAAGAAGTGGCAGCAATAAGGAACAGCTCAGGTAGAACCAATCCATTGAAACTTCAGACAGTGGCTTTTTAATAAGCAGATACCTCATATCCAAGAACTCCTTAATAAATATGATCAAAAATTAAAACACCGTAAGAAAACTATTTAAAATAATTCAAGCCTAAAAGAATCATAGCAAACATGACTAGATAAGGAGATCTATACACACACAGATTTCAGAAGGTCTTTCCCATAACATCTTCAGGCAACAACTTGGTAGCAAAACAAAAACTTTTTTTTTAATGTCTTTCTATTAAATGTTTCATTCTTTGCCTATGCTGAGAATAAACATAAGTATCATACAAACAGCAACAGAAAGGCCAATGAGCTAGCAAAAAAGGAAAGGTGTTTTCTAAATTAAAAAAACAAACAAGCAAACTCCTGGTAACAGCACTATCAAGAGTTAGGAAAACCAGGCTAATAGCTGCATGGGATATTCCAGAATCCACTGGGAAAGAGAAAGATTAAAACACACTAGCACTCTTCCACAGTCTCCACTGACCTATCATTCTCCTTTAGTACAAATAACTGTAGGTATCCAAAGTACTAAAAAGGGAATGGTCATAAAACGAAGGGGAAACAAGAATTACTTTGGGATTTAGGGTATGCTACCTAGCGCATAATTAATTTTTAAAATCATGTTAAACCTGTCTTCATGACAAAATATTTGCATTCTTCAGTGTACCATTACAATTTTGTTCTTTAGCACAATTGGACCAGCAACACTGTATTTAGCAATACTAAAGGTTCAGAGCACTTCAGCTTTCAAGTGCCCTACTGAGCCGCAGAGATACAGGAGCATGGACACATTTCCTTTTGCAACAAAACTGGGACTCATGCCCACTATGGAAAACTTGTTCTGGTTTTAACTATTCTTAACTAAGTTTGAATGTGATTAAAGTTACATTTAATAAAAGGGCACAATATATGATAAACATAAAAATGAATATTTCATAGCCACTTGGGATTTTCACAGATACCAACAGTTTATCACTTTCTCCTTTGAAAACTATATTTTAATTATTTAATTTCATCCTTATTTCAAGCAAAAATTACCTCAAACACTTCTGTGGACCTTGCTAGCCTTTCCATAAAGAGATGGGATAAATGTACATCAGCCAAATAATTACATAAGTATTTTAGTACGCTTTCCCCTGACAATCATTTTTACAAATATACCAAGTCCACTAAACCCTCAAGCTGTTTTGTTTCTTTAATGAGAAAGGTCTTCCTCCAGATGTTTTTCACTACCTGTTTAGGATGCCTGCAGGGCACAGGATCAGGCTCCATTCCTACAGAAGCTATTTTTCCAGTATCACCCTTAGAATTTCTTTTTGCCAGTAGCAAGCAGATGAGAAGGATATAAGTTCTTGTACATAGAATCACCTTAAATGTACTGCAAAGTGCCAGTTAGTTTTACATACTTAACAAATTAAATTCCCTGAAAAAAACATTACCTAAGAGCATTGAAGCTTCAGAATCATGAGTTTACCTTCCCCTTAACTGGTGTCTAGATGATCTCTTATCTCCCTGGAACACTTTTCCATAGCTATTGTAACACACAGTAAGTTTCATTATTTTATTTCCAATGACAGTGAAAACCTGCCTTTTTTGTCAACAGTACAAAACCACGTAAGAACAATGTTATTCTCATATCAACTTCTTTTTTTTTGACAAACTTATCAAATATGCTTTTTCTGTTCAGACTGTCTGAAGGCTGCTTTAATAACCTGTACCTTCTTTACAAAGCATCACTTGCAGAATTTTGAATATTCCACACAAATAGATAAGGAATCTTCCCTTATTTTTCAGTGCTGAACAGCAGAAAAGGTAGTTGGTCAAGCACATTTATTAACAAAATAAGGATTGGCTATTACTTACATTGTACTGCATATGATGCCAGGACAACAGCAGAACTAATGGGGCATGACAACCTGGAAACAGGGGAAAATATTTTTATCTAGACACAGACTGTATAAATGCATTGTTAACAGTGTCTCTGCAATTAGTTCAGTATGTGAAGGCTCATTTATCTTCAAGAGTATCTGATTTTTTTTTCTTACAAAGTTTGATTGTCAGAGCACAGTAGGACCGGATATTAAAAGCTAGTTGCTGCATAACACCTTAAGTGAATGTAAATAACTACTGTAAAACAACATGCACATATTCTTGCTGTATGCTTACTTGGGAAAGCACAAAGGAGCAGGGCTTTTTATGGGGCTCTGGACTTCATTTTAATAGCTGCAGTCTGGTGTATTTAAAACTAGACACAAACAGTAAAATTAGCAAAATGCCAAGCAGACTTCTGATCTCATGTCCAAAACTGACTCCATAGAACAAGAAAGCCAGTACCTGAAGACAATTTACATTTGGCAGCAAATACTCAGACCACCTTTCTCCTATTTTTTAAATGTACAGACACACAGGAATCTCAGGCAAAATAACCACGGGGTATATGCCCACCATATAGGGCATATAACCCTGAAATCATGAGAAATGATAGCATAAAATACCCTTTGCCATTCCCTCCTGATTACTGCACTACATAGCAGGTCCCCCACTTGGGATACCAGGCTCAGCACACCATGCCTTGCATAAGGATGTCTCAGGCTGACATTTTATCTGTAGACACACAACATCTCCTACAGCTCATTTGGAACAGACTTCTACACTGCTCTTAAGTGAATTACGTGAAAATTGTAATGTTTCCTAGCAATCTGATTTTGTTTAAAAGCAGTATTTCACAAGATACATTTTTATAGTAACAATACCCTCAGAAAAGTTTTTAAATTTTATTTTTAAAAACAATTATAAAGAAATTGAAGATTATTCTTCTTACCTTCCTTCCACAATATCAGTCTTCAACTGCAGGAAGAATAAGTGCCTAGAAAAGATTTTTTGGAAAGCAAACATTTATTTTCACATTTAAAAGGTATGGTTTAAATTGTTACATGTGTTAGTTTTATTTTATTAGACTTTCTGGCAAAGTATACAAACAGATGAATAAAGCTTAGTGGCATTTGCAAATACGCAGTTATATACCCACACACTCTCACACCAGTTTCAAAGATCTTTGGTATTCTGTACTACAACTCCAGGACCACAACAAACACTACAAAACCCAAACCATTACAGAGCTGGGCTTTCTTTCTCCTAGGAATATTCACCTTTGATGGAACTTAAAAAAACCCCAACACAAACCCCCCACCCCACCCCCAAAAAAAACCCAAACTGTGATAGTCTATCTTGAAACTACTCAACGAGCAAGAGACATTTCCCAAGTAGCATACACTAACAAAAAGCTCTTAATTCTCCAAGAGCAGTTCAGTCTTGCTTTTATTAGTGCATTTGACAATGTGACTTCATAGTGATACTGGAGAGTTGGGATGTGAAGAGCCATAAAGAGCAGGTCTTTGAATAATTTCAGTTCAAAAATGCAGGATGGCTTATAACTGCATGATTAGCAAATACCAAAACCAGATCAACAGCTAGGTTTTTTAAAAGAAATATCATTTAACAAATTGTACTATTTATATTCTGAAGTCACTGAAATTAACAATGAAAATGTACAAAAACGTGGAAAAAAGTGAGATTAATAGGTGCCTGTGAATTAAATTCCAAGTTCATGTGCACTTAATAAAACAAGTATTCAATTAATGCCTTGTGACATGTTAATTGAAAAATCACTTATAATTCACGTAGCCCACCCACCCCAAAAACTGAAAGATAGTTTAAAAAATAAACCTTTAAAGGTCTGCTATAAACTGAAGCATTATAGATCTTTCATGTTACAAGTAATGGGCAAAACAGGAAACAAGAACTGTTATCTGTTGTTCCCAAAACAAAATAAACCCCACCCTCCCACACCCTCAGTATTAAATTCATTACACATGTTCAAAACTGACTCAATGTTGATACAAAGCTTCTAACAAAGACTTAGGGCATGCAGACAGTTTTATCACTCAACTTTCCTCTTTTTTCATCATTGCATCTGATTATGGAATCAGAAAAGGAGAAAAAAAGACAACAGGCAAGTATTTCAAGCAACTAAGAGCTCAAAAACCACAGGAATCCAGGTGCAAATAAACCAACTACCATCTTTGTACTAACTTATACTCTGGCTGTATTTTGGAATTGAAGGTTACATATAGCAGAAACTATTACAAGCACCCTATCAAGCTGTCAATTCCAAACACATTTAACACAATTATACAAAGTTATCAACCTAATAAAGCACAGTTTGCCAATATGTGGAGTTGGGAAAGGAGGATTTTACACATTCTTAGTTCATGGAAATATACATCAAACAGAAGTTACCTGGTTTGTTCTTGCTGAAGTGTGTTAGGATCAGGTATAAAAAACCTTACACGAAAACGAAGGGTGCAGGGAAAACCTCCTGCAATATTTTAGAAGAGCAAATCAATTTTTTGTTAAGAAAAAAAGAGCCCAAGGTTTTTATTTTTATAGAAAGAAAAAAAGAACAACCACATAGAAATCTCATGCATTTTTCTCATGAAACTAAAAGCAGCCACATGAAGTCTCTCCTGATCCCCCAATACCAACTATGAGAAGAAAAGACTCTCAAATATTGTGATGCTTTCTTTTAAAGTACTTTATATATGATACTTCACAGAAATGACATTTAGTTATTTTTGCCTCACAGGTATTACAAGAGAAAAAAGCAGCAAACATATTTGAAGCATCTCAATCGGGATAGTGCTCAATTCTATCCCACATATAAATACAAGAAATTAACAGAGTTCACCATATTAACTTCATGTATTTTTACTTCAGTTGATACACAATCTACAGTATATGGTAGAAATAAGAGCTGAAAAACAGAGCTCAAGTTTCACAGCACAAATTGGGACAGTGTCACTCAGTCCTCCTAAGCTGCTATTTGGCAGGGTCACACTGGCCAGTTTGTCCTTCTTGGTAAGTATGCCATGTTACCCAAAGCTGTTTATAAACAAGACACACTAGAGCAACACATGCACTTTGAAGTGTGTGGTGTTGGTTTTCTGTTTGTTTTTTAATAAAAACATGCCTAGGTGTGTTTTTTGTTTTTTTTTGTTTTTTTTTTTTTCTTATTCTACTTAAGAAATTGCCAGAACCTATACATTAAACTGGCTCCATCTCCCGCAATCAAAACCCCTCCTCTTTATCTTCTGTATCAGGAGGAACTTAGTTGCACCATGATATAAGTACTGCTTTTATGGCCATGATGTCCAACACTGTTCAGAAGCCAAGTTTAGATGGTATTACAGCAAAGTTAGTGACATACCAGGTCTTATAAGCACTCAGGTAGCAGTAAGAGAAGTAGAAAGCTCTTCTGAAAAGACTGGAAGAGGTAAGACTCGCTCTTAAATATAATCTACCATCTGTATGCACTAATTTACAAGAACTGTATTTATTCTAGTCATAAGGACACAGAAAAGCAGGACTACAATTAACAATCAAGATATTAAAAACAAGTCTTACCTTTTAACTGTTTTCTAATAGGTTTGTTTGGTTCAAGCCATCGCTGTGAAATGAAAAACTATTAGATGGATTAAAAATATTTACAAATAAATACTATTTATGTGTATGTGTGTGCATGTATGTGTGTACACATATAAGTGTATGCATATATATGTGTATATATGTATACACACGTATACATGCACACACATTTATTATTTACTATACTTACAGGTGAATCTACTGAAGTTTCATTTTGCTGTAAACCAAAATATTCCTTCTCTGTCACACCAAACTGGTTATAGGTCATATCCAACAAAATCTGTCCAGTGTCTTGTTTCTGAAAACAAAACTTTAGAAGTTAAACTCGGCAACACTTAAGATACAATTAATTGAAATAAATGTTTTTAAACAAACTTAAGTCACAACTAAAAATAACTGCCAATTCATTGGTTCAAAATTTCTCAGCACTAAGAGCTTTCCTCTGATGAAAGTTTTTCTTCATTAAAGAGGCTTTCTTTCCAAAATACGTTAGCCATCTCATAATATGAATTGACATGAATTCAAAGCCCTTGATTTTGGTCCAGCAATTTAATTTTAAGCGGACAACCCCCTCCCTTGACCACAGTCTTTAGGAGCAATGCCTCTCTCCGGAGCTGTAGCCTGCAAGGATGGCTTATGGCCACATGGTGCTGCTCTAGGCCCTGCTGTCACCGGCAAAGCAGGGCACTCTTCCCGCATCATCTGTCAAAAGGCAAAGTCAGTACACATTAGGATGGGGGAAAAAAAAGTAGAAAGATGCTGTGCTCCAGCCATAAGATCCTGTACTTCAACCTGAACTCCCACCTGCCCCTCAGCCTCCACGTGCTCAGCTGCCGTTCAGCCACCTCACTTTCTGCCTACATGTCCCTCAAAACAGGTATCCCAGAAGAACTGGTGCAACAGGGAATTACACAGGCAGCAGAGATCCAGAAGCATAAGCACGGTATAATTTTTTCCCCAAACCAAAGAACTATCTCCATGCCATGGCACTGGGGAGAGCAGATTAAGTAACTTCTGCCAAAGAACACTGTAAACCAATTCTATTAAAAAACAACCAACCACAAGAAGAAACAAACAAAACCCCTCAAGAAGATTACAATCCTAAATATGCTAATATGTAATAAATAGCTTGCAAACCTCTACGGCATTTTAGGTCTAGATTTTCATATACAAAATTGCTGGACAGATCAAAAAGCATGCAGTTTGTTTGATATCTTGTCTATTCAAGAAATTATAGCAAACTAATAATCTTCCAAATCTCACACTTAAAAGTAGAAACAAACTGCATGCACACACACAAAAAAAATCTACCAGAGGAAAATTATTTAGAGTGAAAAAAGACAAGCACTTTATTCTGAAACAAATTTCCTAAAAATTAAGTCCCAATTTAATCAAGTGCTGATTTCTTAAAACAAATTTCTTAATCTCTTGAAACAAAGGACTTAATGTATAAACATGAGTGACCACATTTTTGTGGATGGCCCCAGTCTTACCTAGTGCGTAAGAGTCCTCACTTCATAAGCTAAGAACTCAGTATCATATTCAGTCCTTCATCTAGACCTTGTTTATTATACAACACTCAAGTCCTGTTCCGATTTTTTTTTTTTTTTAAAACAGGGTACCACACTGCTGTAATTGAGTGCTTTACATAGTAATACATTCCATAGTCTTCCTCTATCTCATAAAAGAATTCTTCCTATTTAAAAGATGGGAAAAAAAACACAGATTCAAGCAAAAGACACTCACTTGGCTACCTTACTTTGGAGGATGGGATAATATTATCCAACACTTCCTATTGCTAGAGCAGAACTCCTAGTGGCTCATTTGTGATTTGAATGCTCAGTGTTTCTACATCAGCCTCCAGATACAAGGTAAGGTAACAGCCAACTATTGGCCTCCTGTGAAAAGCTGTGCCAGTTTTTCCTGGAGCAAAGTCACATACGAAGAAAACTATGTAGGCAACACTCAACTGTCTTATGTATGAGACTACTCTTTCTCCTCCAACAGTCTCTCATCTTATTTAACTTTCACAAGAAACATCTGAGGTCTTGCAATAAATGGAAGTTGACTCGAACCTGTAAATCTGTGCAGCCACCAAAAGCAGCGGCTCTGTCCCCTCCAGCAGCACTTTCCTACTCCCTCCTTTTGGACAGGCTACCGTTCCTTGGAATATTCAAACCACAGCACTGATCAAACCCAATTTTTTTTCTGAAATAGTGTAGACCTAAATCCAGCTTAGAAACTGGAATCTCAGTGACAGGTAAGGACCACGTGACCAAGCATTCCTTGTCACACATCGCTACAGTGCCATGCATCTGTCAGGCAGTTCTGTCCAGCACCATCAATGAGGTGGGCTCTGCTACGAAGACTGGTATTTGCTATCAGAGATAATCCATATATGTACACAAGAGGGCTCTATGAAAACAGCAGATGCCGCCTTAATCCTCTGAAATAATGGGCATTTCCTGATGTGAATACATTCATCTTTAGCATTGCCTTACTCTACCTATCATATTCGTTTCCCCAAGGTTGTGTTTTTATAAGTAGAACGTTAAAACACTTTCAAGTGACATCACATGACATCTGCACAATTTAGAATTATAATTGCACATCTGTGGTGCATACTCCTGATATGAGCTAAATTAGCAACTGTTGTGACCAAAAGCAGCCATAACAGGGGGTAAGACATACACTTTATTAAATAAAGTGTTCAGGCATCTCAGGTTTTATTACAAATGAGGCAGGAGAAGACAACAGAAAGCAGGTTCTTCTGCTGATTTTCTCTCTGAATTTTGACACTTCTGACTTGCTTTGGTCTCCTTTCTTTGGAAGCATTATCTCCTAATTCCCTTCTCATTTTTCATGCTTATGGTCCTTCATGACAATTCAGATGCCTTCACCTTCTCTCTCCCTGAGCTCTTCCAGTTGCCTCCCCTGCCTCTCCCCGACACATATGAATTGCTAAGCCTTCTTACCAGTTCCCTGTAAAGATAAGCAAGCTCCCTACTACAATATTCTTGCACAGCAGTGGCAATTCTCTCTTTGTAATATTCCCATGGGTCTCCCAACCCTAAACCCAGCTGTTCATGCAACACAAGTCTCCTCCACCCACTTATCTACTATTTCCTTCTCTTCCTCTTCTTCACATTTTCTACCAAAAGCAATTTCCAACACTACTTTTCTTGGCTCCAGTTCTTGCTCTCTGGTATTAAAAGCACAGAACTTCTTCCACAGTGCCTAAGTACCCACTCCAGAAATCTAAGCTAAATACAAAATGGAATTTTAAATTGATAACGTCTTCTTCAGTTGTTAAAATTCACAAAGCTATATGTTTCTATTATTTTTCCTCAAGAAAATCTCTATTTATTTGGCTTTGGCTTAAACACATCAATTATTTTTCAGCCTATACATCTAAAAATTAAGCTACTACATGGCTCATGCTGTGCAATCTTCAATCTATTTTGCACAGAAACAGTTCTGAGATCTAGGTGTAAAGTGAGGCAGTCTAAGCATGTCACATCACCGCTTCTGAAGTTTGATATCCTTTCCAATACAGTCCATAGCCACAGTGTCCTCTATACTACAGCATGTCAAGTGTTTTACAATACATCATATTCTCTCTCCCTCGGCCATAGGAAAAAGGCAAAACAACATCAACACTGCTCAGCTAAAGTGGTCATTAGATCCCAGTTCTCCTTAACCCTGACAACCATTACAGCAAGTAGTTAAGACATTCTTAAGAAAGCTCGCTCTTTTCTACACTGAGATAAAACAAATGCTGCATTTTCCACACTATCCTGTTACAATAACACAAGTTCTTAAGATAATCTTAAGAATTTTTTCCTACTAAAAAGAAACATTTCCAAGAGGTTTGCGCGTCTCCACCCTGAAATCTCCATTTATTTAATCTTCCTGACATCTACCAATCCTGATCCTGAACTGTTAAGTTTTTCATCAACCAGCTCATATCCACACACCATTCACCTCCATTTAAATCTGCCCTGAAATATATTTTGCCTTTATGTTGGATAGGCCAAAAATGAATATTTAAAGCAGTCATAATTAACACCTATTACATTCTGCCTGTGTCACAATGATATCCTGTTATAATTTAGTCAAGTTTCATTTCTAGTAAGCTACATGATTTTGACGAGAAAGAACCCTTCACTATTTATGTCAAGTACTGCCTAGAAGCTGGGGAGTTCAAGAGCCACTGTCCTAAGAACTGCATAAACATGAGTAAGGACTGCTAGTTCTTTGGAGTGGAGGGGTAAATATGCAAACAATCCTTCTCAGTTTATCATCTTCTACAAGCTAAGTGGTACAAAGTGATATCTTTAAGAGGACAGTGCAACATACAGAACACTTACTTGTCCCTCTCCTCTGCAAAAGCTTTTATCCCACTTTCTGGCAATGATAACCTCACAGTTAAGCACCACCTAGGCTTTTGCAAATTCAGTCTCACTTCAGACACAATACCCATTGCCCCTCATGTGCTGTCTGAGGTCATCCTTTCCTAATTTAGCCTGTAACAGTCATGCACCACTAAACAGTGTGTCCTTTGATCCCAATACGCCTATGAGCTTGAATGAAGCGCTACACTTACTTTTAATTTCCACACTAATTTTCTACACAATTAATTTATTTGCTCTTCTGCTAACTGTCCTCTTCTCTTCCTGGAATTTATTTACTCACCTGATGCTCTTCGTTCAGAGCATGCAAGATTTGTTTAGGTAGAATAAACAGACTAGTCTCTTCCTTCTTTAGGTCCAGACATTTGCAGAGCATCCTAGTTGAACTTTCTATGCCTGCCTGACTGGAACTTCCCTCTTTTGACTGCAAGTAGCCAGGATCCACACGTGACATTCCCTGGAGGGTGGCCTCAATGCCAAGACTAACACTGTTAATACTTCCTTGACATTGGCTGAAGATTCCTGCCTGGTGCATATTATAGCACTCACCTTTTTCAAAACGGTAACACATGAACAGCTCAGCCTGCAAACTAGCAGTGTTCTCCCTCTCTATTGTTTGCAACTGAAAATTGAGCTTAAAAAAACCCATTACCTCATCTTATGAAAGCTATTAGTTTACACTACTGATTTCCCTCACTGCAATTACTCCTTGTTCAAGATAACCTATTCACTACCTCATATTCCTGTATTTACTTTATTGTTAATAATGCCTCAAACCGCACATTTTTGATTTACTGAAAAAGATTCACCAGCAACATGTTAATTAAATTTGTCAGGAACTTTATTAATGTCCTTGCACTAACAGCTCCTTTTCAGCAAGATCTAC